AGGGATCGCTCTCGTTGTTGTGACCGGTACCACTCCCCCCGGCCCCATCAAAGCCTACCTCACCCCTCGGTGTGTTATTTTCGACCCTCTAGGTTGTTTGATTTGCGAGAGCGCCGGAAGGAACTGGACCTCTTCCATTTACGTTATTGGAAGCAACCGACAACGCCTTATTTATTTCTGTCATAACCTTATCCTGCCGTGTGAGATGGCCTAGAATGACCTTTGTTGCTCTTGCAGGACCCTTACCGCTTAGACAATATGCTCCTCTTCAGCATCATCGGGAGTCGCCTCCCGAACATTTCGCGGGTACCGCCTGTCGTAGACCGGCGTATCACATTTCCCTCATTGCGGGTGTCACTGATTAAATCCTCGTGATCCCCTTTGGCCTCAAGATTGTGTGTGTTGTTAACACCATTATCTACCATTTTCTGTAATTTTTTGCTAAGAACAAATAATCATAACACGTTAGTAAAAGAGCCAGGGACCAGCTTAATTACACGACTGTCTAGGCCCCACGGTGGACGCCAATCTATTTATCCATAAAATAATATATTTGAATTTATACGTGATTTCTAGACAAGTGAATTAGTTTGATCCTGAAATAGTACAAGAATTGAAGAATTATGCAATACTTAGCCTTGAAATGAAGACGAAATAGCAAAAACAGTCATTCCGATTGTAAAGCTTCAGGGCACAACGGTAATGAAATCAAAAAGTAAGAAGGTGAAATTGTATAAAGCTTTGAATAGATTATACCGTGAGTGAGTTTGCCAGAAAATTCATGTCTAGTGCAGTGATAGCAGAGCTCACTATTTATAGTTGCACCTACGGAACAAGGTCCTAGGATCATGCCCTTCTTTAATGTCAATTATGAGGTTCATTGAAGAATGTGTAACGGCGAGCATAAATGGCAAATTCTTTGTAACGGGCAGTGTATTAAATGATGTAGAAAATTCCCCATTAAATCCTACCGGGTGGCAGGTATTTATTGCTTATTCATGAGTGTTATTCTTTCCGGTAACAAATGGAGCAGTTGTCTTCGATTTTAGCTATCTTCTGTCTTCGGCTCCACGTGTCACTTTCTTGTGCAATTACCTAACATATGATATTTTTACCCTATACAACTCTTTTAGTGGTAATTAACCTCAATCAATATTATCAATAGTTTGGAAATATTTATTTAATGATACGGGTAGAATTAAAAAAAGTTCTCTTGATTTATTAAAGTAGACAAATAGGAAAAACAATACATTAGACAAGTAAAAAAAGAACGAGTAAGCATTTACTCTTCATACTTGACAAAACTAGTTGTTCGAAATATTTATCATTTTGAGAGTACCGATAAAGGATTAAGATCAATTTTTTTGTAAAGAAATGCATGTCGTAAACATATTCTTTTGAGACATGCACTACGAGTGTAAGGGGCCGTTTAGTAAGATGTATAAGATTAATATCGAATATGGCGTATTAGTAATGTTCGAATTATTAATGTTAAGTTTAGTTATGTTAGAACTAGTTATTCTGAGATTATTTTATATCGACTGTATAGTTTGGTATATTAATGATTTTGAAAGGGACAGTTCTGTTTTTATACATGTTTATTCATGTATTAAAAATTATAGTATTATTATGCCATGGCTTGTTATGTATATGAATAATACTGAATAGGGTATATAACTATTGAGAAACACCATCAAACAAAAGATTAATAATAACAAAGTTAATACATGTATTATTTTTTCCTATTACATCTTACAAACGTTGGAAAATAAGTTATCCGAAGATTAATTATTCCGGAATTAGTTATCTCGAGATTACTATCTTAGCCACCCATAAGGATAAAAATAACACTACAATCTCGGATAACTAATCCCCGAATTAGTTATACCGCAATTTTATCTCAACCAAACTTGGAATAAACTTAACTCATATTTAATCCCATTATTAATTATCTCTTATCCCTTGTTATGTTAGGGCTCGTTTGGTATAAGAAATAAGAAATAATTAATCCCAGATTAAATTTACGATTTGTTTATCCCACGTTTGATTAGGTAAAATCGCGATATAACTAAATTATCTCGGGATTGTATTATTCCAATAGAAGAATAAAGTAATAATCCTGAAATAACTAATGCAAAAATAATTAATCTTGAAATAACTTGTTTCCAACCAAATCACCCAAATGTTTTCCTAACCTAAGTTGCATATTGGACGAAAGAAAGCAAACAATCTATGCAATGGAGACTATCGTCCTTATATCTTCCTCTTTTTAGGGTAAAAACGTCATGAAATATGACCTATGGCCGACTTTTGTTAACAGTCAAGATCAGAAACAAAAGTGGACTATTTTGCCACGTATAGGAAAAAGCAATAAATATGCCAGTTTCCACTTACAATTTTCCTTTTTTTATTTAAAAGAAAGTTTTCGAAACCATTACTGGCATGTGAGGTCTGAATAAAATTAAAGCCTTCTTTAGGCTATAAGTACGATTTCACTTGTTTTTTTGCCTTAGATTTGACAGTCGCATTTAAGGAATCAGCTCTTTTTAGGTTGATATTCGTAATCTAACCGTTCTCAGTTACAGTAAATTAATTCCAAACTTTTTACTATTTTAACTCGTTCATAGTCAAATTTTGGTAAAGAATTAGTTTATGGCTCCCTGGACATTTTCATTTTCTTTTCATTTAATTAGACTTATCTTGACATGCAAAATTCACGAAAAGGTCTATTTTTTTATAGTTCCAGCTATCAATGTTTTTTTTAAAAAGAGTTAAAAATATCATTGAGGCTTTTAAAACCATTTTTAGAAACAAAATAAACTTTATTTAAACAAAAAGAAATTCGGTTTTGTCAAAAGACCTCCGCAAAAACTACTAAAAGGTAACCTGAGTACTTCTTCGGTTTTCTTCTATAATCTTTTTTTTCTTCTATAAATTGATTAAATAGCCCTTGTTCACTTAATTTGGAAATAAAGGAATATCTTTTAGTTCCTTTTTGAGGGAGGACAATAATTAACTAGGTCAAGAAACCATTAATAAAGAATCTAAAAATAGAAAATTGACATTTGCTCAGCATAAATAGCAAGGAATAATTATTGACATTGCTTTTATTATGTATTATACCAATCAGAAATTATACTCATGTCATGGAAAATATACTTTGAATTAACTGTCCTTGTATTTATTTAAACCAATCAAACAAAATCAAACCAGAAACTTACATAAATTCATATATCCTTCTCTTGTTCTCTTATCAAAAACTGTTCTTTCCTTATCGTTGCAAAGGCTAAAGTCCACAACAAAGTTACCCACTGAATTAGGGGTGTTCAAAATCGAACCGAAACCAAAAACCGAATTGAAATTGAAGCTTAATGGCTTATATGTGACCACAAAAAAGAAAAAAAGAAAAAGACAAACCAATTCAGACCCCCACTACTCTAGTATTTTGAGTCAACAAACTTAGTGTAACTATATTATACATTTAGGTATGGCGTAGTAATCAATAAAATAATAATATAAGCGTAATTTGATAAGTGGGGTTTGAGAAGGATATTGTATACAGATTATACCCGTACTTAGTGTGGGTAGAGACATTGTTTTCAAAAAACTCTCGGCTCAACGAAAGCAAAATCGCAACAATTTAAAAAGAAATATGATAGAAAAGAAAACATGAAAAAAGAAACAGTAATAGTAATAAGATAATAAGAAATCCAAAGTAGAAAAAACCTCATGTAGCACTAGAAAATTAAGAATAAAAAAATACGAGAATAGTACTAGTACTATTGATAAGGAAAGAAAATCATTTAGCCTTCTAATCTAATTCTTTATCTCAACACTCTTCTATTCAAGGTCATGTTCTTGCAAAGTTACCCCATATTTATACTAGCGAGAGATAACAAGTAATTAATGGAATAGACAAAGTACGCGTACACTTGTCCGGACACCACGGTTTGAATGGGTGTAAGGTTCTTTGAGTTCTCATCTACCCATGCCCACTATAAAAGCAACAACAATATATCCACGGTAATCCCACGAGTGGAGTCTAAGAAGGAAGAGATGTACATATACCTTACTTCTACTTTATGTGAGATACAAAGATTGCTTTCGATATATCCTCGGTTAAAGAAAAATATTTTCCAAACAAATTTGAAAAATACAAAAAGTAAAAAGCTATTAAGAAATACTAAAGAAACAAAAAATATTCACATCAAAAATAAACGGTCCCCGGTTGAATTGTGGAGACGAATAGGTGAATTGATTAGGTATCTTTGAATCTTCAAAGAGGACAATAAATAAATCTATTCTCCATAAATTTATGAAAGTCAGAGCATCCAAAGATGTTTAAAAATGAATTCTAAGTCTTTAAGCCTAGCACAGTTCACACTACACAGTACATAATCAAACATATAGTAAAGGTTAAATAAATAAAAAAAGGAAATTAAAGACAAATTCCAAGAAATGTAAAAATAAAAAAGGTACCACCAAAAATAAAAACAAAGTGAATAATAAATATAAAATGGTCCTTGAGGAATGGGCTTAGCTGAGCATAGCAGAGAGAGCAGAGTACCCAAAAAACATTTTCATTGTCATTTCAATCTTTCAGCGTACGATTAAATGAGCCTTACTGCAATATGTTGTATTTTTCTACTTTTAAATCCTATATTATTTAAGTGTCGGGTTCGAGCCGTGAAATCAACCACGCATAATTACATTAAAGTAGACTGCTACATCACACCCTATTATGGTGCGGCCGGAAGCGGAGCTAGACCTTCGGACGCGGGTTCGACCGAACCCAATAATTTAAAAGAAATAGAATCCGGAACCCATTAGCTTCGAATCCTGATTCCGCCTTTGAACGCAACCCTTCCTTGAACCTTACATGAATGCGAAATGCTTCGTGCATTGAGTTGCCCCTACTTCTAAACCCTACTTAGGTTACGAGTTTGAACCGTAAAATCAGTCACTAATGCTTAAACTCCCTGAACCTTAAAAAAATCATATGTAAAAATTAGAAACAACTTTACTCACATATAGTAATTACTATAATATTTCTTGTAAAAATTACAAGTATATTGCAATAAAAAAAACAAAAAAAAAAAAACAAGAATCAAGTTTGAGAATCAGGATCAGTAGACCTTCTTTGCATACACAAAACTGAATCTGGATTTAGCCTTTCACCTCTTTTTGCTGGTTCTGATTTACACCTTGTTAGCAAAAAAGGATGAACATAACCTCCTCCATTTTTTTCTTCACCTTCTTCTTCTCTGCTACTTTCACCATTAGAGCTCTCCATTTCTTCACTTCCATGGCTTTTTCTCAACTCCAAATCCCCATTTTCGCCGTTTGGCGAAATGGGGTTTTCAAGAACTGGTTTTTTTTCCAATTCTTGAGTCTTTAATTTTAGTATTTCGATTTCGGTATTATCCTCAGTTTCTTCTGATGAGTTTATAGGAGAACCCCAAAATCTACTTGCTAAAGATGAAGATCGATATGGTGCTGATCTACACCGAGTTAAAAGTAAAGCATTTTTGGGTGGTGAAGAAGAAGAAGAATTAGAACCCACAAATCCTTGTTTATTTTCCGTTACAAAAGAACTTCCAATTTTGGCAGTATTCGTAATATTTTCAATAGTACTACAGCTTTCAGTAGTGCTAGTACTAACTCGGCTTTGTACTCTCTGAATTGAAGAATCTACAGTTTCGACTCTTTTTCTCCAACACCCAAATCGAAAACAGCAAAAACACTTTTTCAAAACTGAAAATAACGACTTGGGTTTGTGTAATTTGTAACATTTTCCTTGACTATTGTTGCAAAATAGAGATTTGCGAATCTTCCACCAACATGTTTTTTTTCGTTGTTTTTTGGCCGAGTTCGACCGACGTGTTCGTGTTCGTGTTCGTGTTGTATGTCCGCCGCCGTTTGAGGCGGCAGCGGACTTAGAGGAGCGGCGAACACGAACTTGGCCTATGCACGTGACTTTAGGGGAAGATGGTTCTTGAGTTGTTTCAATAACGGTAACATTGTTCTTGTTTTTGCGCATGAACATAGGACTGGCACGTGACCTTCCTCTGCTTCTACTTCCCACGTTGCTTCTTAGAAATCTCATTAATGGCGGTGGAAATTTCTCTGTTCTACCTGGACTTGAAATTGCTTTTGCTGAACCCTTCATCTTCTCTGTGTGTGTGTGTGTTTTTTCTTTATCTGGTTTTGTTGTGTGTTTGTTGTTCAAGTGTTGGGTTGAGTGGTGAGATAGAGAAGATGTGGTTTTGTTCCTTTGCCATGTTTCTTTCTGGTTTACAGTTTTTACACCAGTTTTTATATACTCTGTTTTTTCCCTTTTTTTTTTCTTTAAAGACATTTGGTAACTCAAACCAAGCGGTGGAGCTACAACAACAACAAATTCAATATAATTCCACGATGAAATCCGAGGAGGATAGTGTGTACCAAAACGAATTACACTACATCCGCTCTTGAGTGTGTACACAGATCTACCTTGAGAAAACAGAGAGGTTGTTTTCGGTAAATCAAGTGGTGGAGCTAAGTTTGTTTTTGGGATTTTCAACTCGAAGTTATTTAAGCCCGATTAATTTAAATTCGCATTGTATAATGTCCATTAAAAAAAAAATTTCAACCCGAATATTTTTCATTCACCAAGTTCAAACTCGAATATTCTAATTAAGGATGGATAGATCATAGCCATTACATAGCATTTCATGGTGATGGTGGAGATAAGTTCAATGAAGGGGTAAAATAGAATTATCATTCCGACAATTATATTGAGCAAATAGGGTAAAATAATTTTGTTTCGTAAAAGTACTTGTATTGGGTGATACCCTTTTTGCTTGAGCCCGACCGGGTTGGGTCCGGTCCGGGGCAAGTCGGGGCCATCGAACCCGACCTGGATGCAAGGTAGAACGACGGCCACGTCAACAACCGAGGTCGAGTCATTTCGAGACCGTTGCAGAGCTCGATATGAGTCACCACCGGATGGAGAAACACACAAGGTCGGAAGCCGGACTCGTAACGGATAACCAAGCGTCGCCGGATATCTCGCCCAAACGTGATTTTCTCAACCACTTCAGGCCATTAAGGCGTAATTACAGGGATCCACGATGTAATTAATTTACCTACCTTATTTTTACCCTTAATCAGAATGTATAAAAGGGGAGAAGACCCCATAAAGAGGGGATCGGAAACCATTACACTACGGTACCATCTCTCTCAATTCTTGTACGCTATCAAGCACAATTGTTCTAAGCAATATTATATTCTGCGATTATTTACTTTAGCAGCAATTGTTGAGTCTTTATCTTTTATTTTCCTCAATCCAAACCTTTTGTATCTTTTAGTTCACGGATCCTTAAAACCCCATATAAATTCAATTGTTATCCGGATTCCAGGGTAAACAGTTTGGCGCCCACCGTGGGGCTAAGGATATTAGTGAGCTCTTTGATACTCTTTCTTGACGCATCACAGTACACTGGTTCTTTGCAAAAGAGTCCATCTTACATTCAAATTACCAACTCATAGAATGGCACAATCAATCAACAACGAACTTGAACAGCAGACAGGAAACAATGGAATGC